CGATTTGGATGCCATGACCCCAGTACGTGCGTGCACGGTGAAAATGTGACACTGCACACACATTACTAGTGACATCATTGTGGGCGGCGTTATTATATAGCGGCCGGCATCCTTCACCAACACTGTACCCGGCCACTGAATTACAAACTGCATGGAAGGAGAGGCTCTGGAGGTAAGGTGAGTAACTTCTCCCTCCTTTAGTTTGACCGCACCGATCAGATGCACCGCCAGAGTGGGCAGTTTGCTATTTGCAGTCTCCCCACAGGCAGTTATGGACTGGAAAATGTAAGGGGTCTGACACAGCTGCTAGATGGGCACACATTGCCTCCTGGGAGCACCCAGGGCAAGAACTGCTACCAGGAGAAAACAGACATAGCAGGCATCTTAGCAGAGCACTGCATAAAAAGCGTGGATTGTTCTACAACTGCTTCCATGGTAAAATAAGATGACATAAATGAAAAAAAGCCTCAGAAGGACAGAGCTTTGTGGGTGAGGAGTATGCCATTATAATTTTTATGACAAATCAGCACTATTATAATTTTATGAAACACTCCCGGCTCTACTTAAGAGCACCTGGATTATATACCGGATTGTCAGGCCTCAGATCAGCATGCTATGAGTGCGTTCAGACGTATACAGTTGGAGAACGTCTCACTGAGAAGCCTCCGATTAGCTATTTCTCTGTTAGTCTCTTCCGGGGGAAAAGGGTAAGGCTTGTACAGGTTGCCGTTCATGAGAACTGCAGCTTTTAAAAGTTATTTAACATATACCCTCAATGAATACATGTATGATAACTGAATGCATTCAGTAGGAATATGTACACTAACAGTGATTTCTACTTTTTTGCCCATTTGGGCATTGGAGTGACCCTATAATAAAACACCCCCTTTGGAACCAAGTAACAAAGTGTAGGAAAGTGTCAGAAAGGGGTTGTGTACACACTATAGAACTAGTTTAAATAAACTTTCCGTAGGTTCAAGAACACAAACATGTATCCCTGATCCTATAGTGTTAAAACCACCATCAAGATCCAATAGGCATTACCAAGGTGACTCATATAGTGAGTAGAATCACTCCGGGGATCCTGGGAGACACAGAAGCAGGTTCAGGTCTGATAGGCATTAACCAGCGAGTAGAATCACATCGGGAATCCTGCAAGACACAGGAGCAGGTTCAGGTCCCATGGGCCTGTGAATAGTCACCAATAGGTGCAAATCGACATTACATCACACAGTGAACTCTCAGTTCACCCGGCCCATCCAGGTGGGTTACACCCACAAAAATAAATGGTTCTTTTACAGAGACAGGGGTTCTAGGATAGTAGCCCAATGAATGGGCATGAAGAACAGCAGGACATAATTGGTATCACCCAAAAGGTTTTTATCCTATCTGCACTCACGTTGTTAAAATATTCACATAGTAGAAGTTCCCAAGAGAAGACCTTAAGTGAAGTGGAAAATAATGAAACATGATTATATCCATGAAGTTCACATCTTCAAAAGACACAGAAACCATAACGAGGGATTTCGAGTGGGAGAATCAGGAAGGCAGATATCTACCAACATTTCAGGATTGGTTCTACCTCTCCAGCTAGAAGATGCAAGGTAAACAAAGTTAACAATTCTCAGGGACTGTGATTATTCAAAGGGATTTCCCCAGACTGCATATGGGACATTATTCTCCCATAACTGATTTAAAGTGGAACATTTATCAAATGTAAGCTAAACACTATGCCAGAAACGTGCACCTTGCTACTTTTAGTGAGATGCACATACCTGCTCACATTTTGCTACATAATCAATGCTTACAGCTCAACCTAGAATGAGCTAAAGGTTTAAACCGTTTACACATTTAACAAAAATGACTAACACCTAGCAATGAAACAGCTATGAAATCTATATCCCTAGAATTCAGCCATTACTGTGCTCTTTACATTAGTTCCCATGCCGTTCACTGATTACCACAATCCCGGTAGAAGGGCTCAGGTCCAGCTCAATTACAAATCGGTACTGCCGTGCCAGGAAAGTGACCCATGTGGACGGTACAAGAAGATACGGCCCCAGTGGTACAGGTTCATCTGGTTGCCAGCCATGAGGTATGACACTCACGACCTCAAGCTCGTCATCATGTAGCCCCTAAATGAAACCAAAGACAGAAAATAGCAGCGTAGACTCTATAAACAAAAACTACAGTAATAATATGCGCTCAGTGATAAATCACCCATGTGTTTTGCTGTATATTAATAGAGTTCCAGGATAAAGAGTATGTGACACTAATCAAGTGAATTAATAATAGTTTCTTTATAAGGACAACACAAGATAATCTGTATACTTACAAGTAATTAATGATAATATAGTATAATATTTCTAATTACAAGGATTTTACAAGATTAAATTAGCACATCACCGATTAATGCAGAAATTCAACATCCAGGCTCGCACTAGGGAGTCTCTCTTAAAAGTCATACATTGAAGAACATCTAGGCTAACACAATCGCGAATGGAAAGCCCCTTTTTTTTCGGCCTTAACGTAGAGTCTCTGTTTAATTGGGAAAGTTTCCACCCAATGCGTCCACTCATGCATGAGTCTTCTGACAAAAGTTCAAAAAAATTCCCAGCTATTATAATCATACAAATAGTGGTTTAGGTAACTATTTTATGCAAGGGACATGAGCATTTCATTAGTATGAACATGCAATTTCTTATCAATGCTAAATATCAGCGCATCCTTGAAGCATTGGCCAGGCGCCCAGAATGTCCGAGTCTAACACCATAAGAAATCAGCACATAAACATTGTCCTGATTTTCAGAATTATGGGCAATATACTCCAAAACAGTAATAAGGATTTCATTCAGTTTTAAACTTCAAAAAGTTGATGATCAACGTATAAATATACAAATTTCAATACATCATGGCAGAGATATATCACCTATGGCACATGTACAATGCAACACGTCACCCATGGCACACATACAAAGATATGCTAGCAATTAGTCACCCATGGCACACATACAATGTAAGCTAGCGATATATCACCCATGGCACACGTACAATGTAAGCTAGCGATATATCACCCATGGCACACAAACAAAGATATGCTAGCAATATGTCACCCATGGCACACATACAATGTAAGCTAGCGATACATCACCCATGGCACACGTACAATGTAAGCTAGCGATACATCACCCATGGCACACGTACAATGTAAGCTAGCGATACATCACCCATGGCACACGTACAATGTAAGCTAGCGATATATCACCCATGGCACACAAACAAAGATATGCTAGCAATATGTCACCCATGGCACACATACAAAGATATGCTAACAATACGTCACCTATGGCACACGTACAATGTAAGCCAGCGATAGATCACCCATGGCACACATACAAAGATATGCTAGCAATGCGTCACCCATGGCACACGTACAATGTATGCTAGTGATACGTCACCCATGGCACACGTACAATGTATGCTAGCGATACGTCACCCATGACACACACACAATGTATGCTAGCGATACGTCACACATGGCACACGTACAATCTATGTTAGTGATACGTCACCCATGGCACACGTACAATGTATGCTAGCGATACGTCACCCATGGCACAGGTAAATGTAAGCTAGCGATACATCACCCATGGCACACGTACAATGTATGTTAGTGATACGTCACCCATTGCACACGTACAATGTATGTTAGTGATACGTCACCCTTGGCACATGTACAATGTATGTTAGTGATACGTCACCCATGGCACACGTACAATGTATGTTAGTGATACGTCACCCATGGCACATGTAAAATGTATGCTAGCGATACGTCACCCATGGCACATGTACAATGTATGCTAGCGATACGTGTCCCATGGCACACATACAATGTATGTTAGTGATACGTCACCCATGGCACACGTACAATGTATGTTAGTGATACGTCACCCATGGCACACGTACAATGTATGCTAGCGATTCGTCTCCCATGGCACACGTACAATGTATGTTAGTGATACGTCACCCATGGCACACATACAATGTATGTTAGTGATATGGCACACGTACAATGTATGTTAGTGATACGTCACCCATGGCACACATACAATGTATGTTAGCAATACGTCACCCATGGCACACATACAATGTATGTTAGTGATACATCACCCATGGCACATGTACAATGTATGTTAGTGATACGTCACCCATGGCACACGTACAATGTATGTTAGTGATACGTCACCCATGGCACACGTACAATGTATGTTAATGATACGTCACCCATGGCACACGTACAATGTATGTTAATGATACATCACCCATGGCACATGTGTAGATACTGACCCCCTTCCCTGTACACTTACCAACTCCGACTCTGGGACCGCGCTCACTGCCTGATGAAGATGGGAAATGAACCAAGCAAGACGTACATTGCGGGATATTCGATAATCCTTCTTCATCAATAGGAACACCTGCCCAGCTTCCTGCAACTGCCAAAGATATGAGATATTCATTATCCAACAGAGTCCAGGGAATACCCGTAGTACCTTGTAAAATAGATTCTTATAATAACAATCCCTTGGAGGAAACATACAGCAAGGGAGTAGAATAGTCTAATCACAAACATAGTGTCTTCAGTCTGTATAAAGCAATTACTGGACGTAAAACAGCACCAGTGAGAAAATGACAAAAACTAACAAAACAAAAATAGAAAACTAGGCCCTGTGGACTTCCATACGAAGTACTAACCAGTATTAAAGGACCACTCTAGGCACCCAGACCACTTTAGCTTAATGAGGTGGTCTGGGTGCCAGGTCCCTCTAGGTTTAACCCTTTTTTTATAAACATAGCAGTTTCAGAGAAACCGTGATGTTTATAAATGGGTTAATCCAGCCTCTAGTAGCTGTCTCATTGACAGCCGCTAGAGGCACTTCCGCGCTACTCACTGTGATTTTCACAGTGAGAAGACGCCAACGTCCATTGCTTTCCTATGGATTGACTGAATGTGCAAGCATGCACATTCTTGCCACGCATGCACATTCAGCCGAGGAGGAGGATTGGAGGCGGGGAGCTCCCCGCCCGGCGCTGGAGAAAGAGGTAAGTTCCACCCCTGGAGGGGGACCCTGAGGGTGGGGGCACCCTCAGGGCACTATAGTGCCAGGAAAACAAGTATGTATTCCTGGCACTATAGTGGTCCTTTAACAGTGTTTTGAATTTGCCAAAATACAGTAATCTGGTCGTATGTAGAGTGACATACCAGTATGGACACTAAATTAAGGTTTTCATATGCAGAAAAACGGCCATAATTAGCAAAGATAACCAAAGTAACTTTTTATTTTTTTTAAATAACATAATAGCATGCCACAAGTAAATATGTATACATAGCAAATACATGAAATAACGCTGCTTCCTCTGCTGGCCTAGCTGGGGTAATCAACCCATTCTAGTCCTTGTGGGAGTCAGGTTGATTTCTCCCCTTCTGCCCAGAGTTTTTTTTAATTGCTGTTGGGTAGTGCCCCTTATAGTTATTATATAGCTTCCAGCGCGCAAATTTGCCGCGAACGTATCAGGTACGTCGGAGGTCGTTGATGACAGTTTTTTGTCGGACGTACAAGATACGTCCATGGTCACTAAGAGGTTAAATCAAAATTGTGGTCATGGTCCTATAATACTTAATACCGCCATATTAATAATATTAACACAATTATAAATTTTTCAGATTTTCACGCAATATTATTTTTAATATTTTGCCCCACAACTATAACTACATTGTGTAGGGTTTTCCAGGAGCAGTTACAGTGTGATGCATTATTACAGCTCTGTGTTTTATTACAGCTTATATCACAGGTCACTGTATTATTTACAGTGTGATGCATTGTTACAGCTCTGTGTGTTATTACAGCTTAGATCACAGGTCACTGTATTATTTACAGTGTGATGCATTGTTACAGCTCTGTGTGTTATTACAGCTTAGATCACAGGTCACTGTATTATTTACAGTTTGATGCATTATTACAGCTCTGTGTGTTATTACAGCTTAGATCACAGGTCACTGTATTATTTACAGTGTGATGCATTGTTACAGCTCTGTGTGTTATTACAGCTTAGATCACAGGTCACTGTATTATTTACAGTGTGATGCATTATTACAGCTCTGTGTGTTATTACAGCTTATATCACAGGTCACTGTATTATTTACAGTTTGATGCATTATTACAGCTCTGTGTGTTATTACAGCTTATATCACAGGTCACTGTATTATTTACAGTGTGATGCATTGTTACAGCTCTGTGTGTTATTACAGCTTAGATCACAGGTCACTGTATTATTTACAGTGTGATGCATTATTACAGCTCTGTGTCTTATTACAGCTTATATCACAGGTCCTGTATTATTTACGGTGGCTGATGCATTATTACAGCTCTGTGTGTTATTACAGCTCCCCAGATCACAGGTCACTTGGTATTTTAGGTTTTGATGCATTGTTGCAGCTCTGTGTTATTACAGCTTAGATCACAGGTCACTGTATTATTTACAGTGTGATGCCGTGTGCAGCTCTGTGTGTTATTTTTAGCTGATCACAGGTCACTGTATTATTTACAGTGTGATGCATTGTTACAGCTCTGTGTGTTATTACAGCTTAGATCACAGGTCACTGTATTATTTACAGTGTGATGCATTATTACAGCTCTGTGTTATTACAGCTTAGATCACAGGTCACTGTATTATTTGCAGTGTGATGCATTATTACAGCTCTGTGTGTTATTACAGCTTAGATCACAGGTCACTGTATTATTTGCAGTGTGATGCATTATTACAGCTCTGTGTGTTATTACAGCTTAGATCACAGGTCACTGTATTATTTACAGTGTGATGCATTATTACAGCTCTGTGTGTTATTAC